ACATTCCTACTGATGATTATTTTACCAGTGAGAGGGTTAAATAACCTGTAGGCTTTAGACTGAACTGAGTACCCAACAAAGATACATTTGTCAGCTTTATCCTCCAATTTGGTTCTCTGATTCAATAGAGTATAAGCAATACACCAAAAAATCCTCAAGTGTCCAACTGAAGGCTTTTTCATCCTCCATACCTCAAAGGGAGTTGAGTTCATTACTGCCCTTGTAGGTGAAATGTTAAGCAAGTATACTGCTGTGGCTACAGCTTCTCCCCAGAAAGAATTAGGTAGATTCTTAGCCTTAAGCATGCACCTGGCCATCTCTACCACAATCTTATTCTTCCTTTCAGCTACCCCATTTTGCTCAGGGGTAAATGGTGCTGTAAGTCCCCTTCTAATACCCTGATCATCACAATATTGGGTGAACTCCTTGGAAACAAATTCTCCACCCCTGTCAGTTCTCAGTGTCTTCACTTGCAGTCCACTTTGCTTTTCCACTAATGCTTTAAACTTCTTAAAGTTCTCAAAAGACTCTGACTTAGCCTTTTGAAAGTATACCCATGACATCCTACTGAAATCATCAGTGAGTAGAAAGTAATACTTACTTCCTCCTAATGATTCAGTTTGTATATGACCACACAGATCTGCATGAATCAGTTCCAAGCACTCACTTGCTCTCCAGGTTCCTCCACTTGGGAATGAGCCTCTAGCTTATTTTCCATAGACACAACCTTCACAGAACTCCAAGCTACCTATGTTTGGTAGTTCATGTACAAACTCCTTTGTACTTAACATCTGCAGGCTATGGTTATTGAGATGTCCATACCTGAGATGCCACAATTTTGCATTCTCATCTCCTCTTACCACAAGTGCCTGCCCTGCACTTTTGGTTAGATCCAAGGGAAAAACCTTGTTCTTTCCCATAGGTATTCTCATGACTACTGCATTCTGCAATTTCTCCTTGATGACACACATGTCATCCTCAAACAAGACTTTATAACCTCCACACACTAATTGTCCCACACTCAGCAGATTATGAGCCAGATTAGACACATATTGGACATTATGTAGTAGTTTAGTTTTACCTTGGTCAGTAGGGAGTGCAATAGTGCTCTGACCCTCTACTATCAGCTGCTTGCCATCACCAAGCCTAACCACACTCTTCTTGGAAGCATCCATTTCCTGAAACATGTCTTTTGAACTGGTCATATGATTAGAGCACCCACTATCCACATACCAGACTGCACTTGCACCAAAGTCACAGTTATGTTGGGCAAGGAAAAGATTTTCTTGCTCAGCATAATTGGACTTGCCTTCAGGTGTACCTTCTCCTTTATCCTCTTCTTTCTTCCAACATGAAGCTTCTTTGTGGCCTGGTTTATTGCAATAATAACACTTGATTGGGCTCTTGTGGTTATTTTTAAAGGAAAAACTTACCAAAAAGGTAAAGTGTAACAAACTTTTAAATACATCCCAAAAAGGAATGTAGAGGGATCTTTTAAATACGGAGAGAGTATTTGGTACTGTAAGAATAATTTTTCAAGTACGTATCAGATTCAATCAATTTGAGCATTGCTATTTCGACTCTGAGATTCCTATAATTGAACTTTTCAAAAAATTGTAAGTGATTTTTATTCAACAATTTACCTCTCAACAACTAATCCCGAATAACTGAATAAGGCGAAAGCATAACTAGGAATATTACGTATTATGATTCATCATTCGACAAAAATTGAATCAATACGCCTAAACCGTATCAGCGGGATGTGCCGACATTTGGGTAGGGACGGAGCTAGGATGTAATGTCACTGGTATCAAAATAATATACCAAAGAAAATTACCCTAAGAAGCGCAGATCATATCTGGCTGGCCTGACAGGAACCTCCATCAAGCCGAGGCCATTTGGGGCCCTTTCCGTTTGAATTTTTGAATCAGATATTTTAAGCATGTTCTTCATTAAGTCTAGTTTATACCCAACAAATTTCAGCTAAAATTTCAACCGGGAAAACAGTTAAATAAATTCTTTACAAAAATTGCGCTTTATATATATATAAACAACATAGTTTTTGTAAAGAATTTAGTTGATTGTCTTCCAGATTGAACTTTAAACTGCAATTTGATTGAGAAAAAACAGACTTGAGGAAGAACATTCTTAAAAAAAAATTCCACAATAAAGAACCCCAAATTACCTCGGTTGGTCTGACAGGATTGCTACCCTTACCCTAAGTGAGAGTAAAAATAATGTGAATTTTAAATTAGGAGTATTATATTATTGTTTCAGTTGCTTATTAAATATCATCAATATTATTCTTCATACATCAAAAAACTTGTGAGATAGGGGAGTATATTACATATATTGACACTTTATAAAAAAAATTGTGGTGTCATTTTTAACACTTTCGGTCTATATATACATATATATACAATAAATATATAGTTTGAGTGGTGTCATTTTTAACACTTTCAATTTATGTATACATATATATACAATAAATATATAATTTGAGTGGTGTCATTTGACACCATAACCTAACACTTGGCTCCGTCCCTGCATTTGGGTCCACGGGAGAATCAATGCCAATGAACTTGAGCAATTGAAACAAATGGACAAACAAGATTCTATTTGAAAAAATAGGTATTCCATTTTGGGTTCCCATTTTTACCCCTATTGTGTGGTTTAAATGAAATACTCCCCTGGCCCCTTTTAAATGTTCCCCATATTGGGATGTCCAAATTAGCATACATATCTTCAAAGGAAAAAAAATGATTTCATTTTTCAAATTATACGCCTTCTCGACCCTTCAATTACTTCATCATGTTCTCATCTCATATCTGTCGTTGTATGGATCTCTCTTCCTTCTTTTGCTTAGCAATGGCAACTTTCCCGATCTCCTATCTCTCCCTAGTCCTACTCTCGCAATGCTTTGCATTCAACGAGCTCTACCTAAAGATGCACTTGAGATTTAACCATTGGCTACTCTTATGCAGTTATGTGATACTCTTTCACCAATTCCGAATAATGTTCACGTTGTCCAGATTCCCTTTCTGTTCCCAACAGTTGGTCACATATACAACTAGACTCCAACTTAGAATCGATTACAAAAATACTTTAATGTAGCAAGCACACCATACAACCGATATAACGGTGTTTGAAATTCATTTTGCTTCTGCTTATTTTTTGAAATCAGAAATAAAATCAGAATTAATTTTTCAAAATCTGGTCTCTCCCTACTCATAGGAACATTTTGGAACATCCAAAAGAACATCTACACTTTTGCTCAAACACTCTAATATTTGTTTCTGTTTTTTAAGGAGGAAAAACTAGGGGTGAGCAAAAAATACCGAACCGGCATGGTACCGAACCGAAAAACGGGTTTTGAAACGAATCTCAATTTTTTTTGTCCCGAACCGGATCATACCGTTTCTAAACGAGGTAAGAGTCAGATTGGTACTTGAAGTTGCATAAAAAGGGTCAAATAAGTCCATATATAGGACGTTCTGTCTGGCCATCGCCATTTGGGGCGATTTCCGGTGGAATTTTTTGACGAAATTTTCTGAGCATCTTATTCATTAAGTCTAGTTTACTCATACCAAATCTTCAAGAATTCATTTGAATGCCTTCTCGGTTGAATTTTTAGCTCAAATTTGGTATGAATAAACTAAACTTAATGAATAAGATGCTTAAAAAAATTCATCAAAAAATTCCACCAGGAACCGCCTTAAATGGCGACAGCCGGACAATAAGGACTTATTTGACCCTTTTTATGCAACTTCGAGTACCAATCTGACCCTTACCTCGTTTTCAAACAATGCCATGACCGGTTCTCATAAAATGAGAACCGCTACCGGACCGAACTGAACCAAAGTATTTATAATTAATTAAATTTACATTTATACCATTACTTTGACTAGTGCTTTCACACTTTCAACGCATTCGCTAGTTCATAGGAAGCCTAGGATCGGATCGATGTAAGGTTTAATTATTTAAATTAGTACTACTATGGTTTATCTGAAATTCATTAATTATGTAATACTATCTCAGTTCCAAATTGATTTGCAAAATTAACCTTTCTTGGTTAAATATTTTATTCTATTCACTTAATTAGGATATTAAATTTTAATTATATTTAATTTCGTATTTGCAACTTTGAAGAGATTTTGATGTAGTTTTTTAATACGTAAATTTTAATTGTTAAAAATTGAATTAATTATCAATAAAGAGGATTTAACTTTAACAACATTGGTTGACAAAAAAATATTGACTTTGCATATCAATTTGGGACAGAGGGAGTATAAAATTGATAAAATATGTGAATTTTTGGAGGATGGCTACACTTTAATTTTCTTTTAAAATCTTAAAAAGTGACATTGTTTGATATTGGTATGACATGATACTGTCCCGTTTGAAAATGGAACCGTACTGGATGAGTTTATGTCTAAGATCGAATCCAATCGAACCGTTTCAATAATAACGGTACGATTACGAGTTGGGTCAAATATTGCACGGATCTTGCCCACACCGGGAAAAACAATTTTAAGAAACCTATTTGAGTCCACGAATCAGGCATGGCGGAATGTGTGTTGCTTAGAGCATCTCCAATGGGGTAGTGGATTGGAGTAAAGTCTATCCTACGTGGCATAGGAGAGAGATAGAGATAGGATGATTATTTTAATTTAATATGGAGAAAGTGGTGTGTATAGAAAAATGAAAAGGAAGAGAGAGATAGGAGTAAATTGTAGACAATGTCTATGACAATGTCCACAAATAGACATTACACGGGAATCGAGGAGCAAAAGTGGATGAAAAGTGGGTTAGAAGTGATATAAAAAAATGAAAATGAAAATAAATAATGAGATATGTAGGTCCTACACATAAAATTTGTGAGATAAAAAATGGGACCCAATTGTAAGAGTGTGTAAGAGAATAGACATCCCATTGGAGATGCTCTTACAAGGCAGACTCTGCCCTGCCCCACCGTGGGTCCGCCGTAACGTGGGGCGGCCCACGGAGCGTCGTTAGAATCTCGTCTATTCATCCCTTTACTTTGAGTCCACAAAATGAAATCTTCCGCTGTCTGATACTCTACCACTTTCATTAGACGAAAAACGGCGGCGAATACGACGGCCATGGCGACGCCAGGAAATCAGAGCCGGGAGCAGAGCGTGTACATGGCCAAGCTAGCAGAGCAAGCAGAGCGTTACGAGGAGATGGTGAAGTTCATGGACGACCTAGTCGTCGCCACCGCCACGTCAGGCTCCGAGCTGACCGTGGAGGAGCGCAACCTTCTGTCGGTGGCTTACAAGAACGTCATCGGATCTCTCCGTGCGGCCTGGCGAATCGTTTCGTCGATCGAACAGAGGGAGGAGTCCCGCAAGAACGATGACCACGTCATCCTCATCAAGCTCTACAGATCCAAGGTTGAGTCCGAGCTCTCGGCCGTTTGCGCCGGAATTCTCAAACTCCTCGAACACTATTTAATCCCCTCTGCTTCCTCTTCAGACTCCAAGGTTTTCTACTTGAAGATGAAGGGCGATTACCACCGTTATCTGGCGGAATTCAGGGCTGGTGATGAGCGGAAAGAAGCCGCGGAGGACACTATGCTTGCCTATAAAGCTGCCCAGGTTATACTTCTATGTCTATTTTATGTTTCTGGAATTCAGGATCTTCTTTTATACTCCATTTAACGAGAGGCTTAAATGAGAAATCGCTTGTGAAATTTTGGGATTTGAACAAGATAAAGTTAAGGGTGAAGTGAATCTCTAAAAGTGAAAGCTGCTGACTTTCTTTGACTTCGAAGTTTTTATGGAAGAATAAAGGTGGATTTCTTGCTGGGATGAGCCAGAACAGCCTTTCTACAAACATTATTTTAAACATTAGATGATTGATAAGACTAATAATGGGCAACAAATTTCAGTTCATCTGATCGATCTTATAACTTCACAACTCACAAGTGACATATGCTCTGAGTCAAATATCTGAAAGGGATTAGAAATGAAGATTGGATTATATGGTTAAACCTCGAGATTTTTATTGGGCTTAGGTGCTTAACAAACAAAGATGGTATGACTTCAGGAAAGAAACAAACAGCCAGTTCTTCCTAATCTATTCAAACCAGAGAGTTTACATAGACCGCTAGAAGAGCCGCGATCTGCGAACTGATCGTTCCGTACCCAATCGCGGTACGAAAGCTATCCAGTCGCTACAGGGAACGACATGCGCTGCGCTTGGCTAGTGGATCCTAAGAGCATCTCCAATGGGGTAGTGGATTGGAGTAAAGTCTATCCTACGTGGCATAGGAGAGAGATAGAGATAGAATGATTATTTTAATTTAATATGGAGAAAGTGGTGTGTATGAAAAATGAAAAGGAAGAGAGAGATATGAGTAAATTGTAGACAATGTGTATGACAATGTCCACAAATAGACTTTACACGGGAATCGAGGAGTAAAAGTGGATGAAAAGTGGGTTAAAAGTGATATAGAAAAATGAAAAACAAAATAAATGTGGAGATATGTAGGTCCTACACATAAAATTTGTGAGATAAAAAATGGGACCCGTGTGTAAGAATGTGGAAGAGAGTAGACATCCCCATTGGAGATGCTCTAATAGCTGTGCGAATCGATGCCAATCGCTGTGCAAATCAATCACAGTCGTTTTTCTGTTCGATCGGAAATGGTTTGCAAGTCGTTCCCCAGCGACACCGTTTTGGCTCTGACTTGTCGTTTCGTATCAAACGCACAATTTCCAACTTTACAAGCGCTTCGTTTCCAGTGGCTTGTACAGGTGTACGATTTTGCATCCAGCCTCTTCGTTTAAATGTTCTATGGAGTATTTTATAAATAAAGTTAAAATGCTCTAATTTATACGAAGTCCAAACACTCTACTTTTGAGTCAATAGTTTCTACTTCGTATAATATTAATGTTTTTTATTTTGTTTATTGTTATGAAAGTATGTTATGAAATACGATAGTATGTTTTTACTTAATGCTATGAAATCTGTAATTATGTTTTATTCTTGTACCAAAACATAAGGTACTATGTGCCGAAGGTAAGGTACACCGTACCGAAAAGAACCTACCCCCTCCGAATCGGATACGCTAGACCTAGCGAACCGCGTTCCCGTACCGAAGCGTTCCCGTACCGAAGCGTTCCGCGAACTATGTGACTATGTTCTTGGATCAAGGAAGTTGCTAGGAAAAGAAAAAAAGCAAAATGAAGTGAATTTTTAAATTTAGTTTAGTGTTGAAAAATTAAAAGCAATTGATGCATTATTATTGATTAATTGGTAAAACTCGGACATGTATTTGGATTTAATTCTTTATAAATTACTCCCTCCGTCTCTGAAAGAAGTTCCCACTTTCCTTATTTGGATGTCCCTAATTTAAGTTCCCATTTCCTTAAATGGAAAGTTATCTACGACAAAACAGTGCCAAACAATGTCAAACAGTGTCGAAACAATGTCAAAACAATAAAATTTACCCCCTGGTAAGTTTACTTGCATAAAAGTGTGTGAAAGTCAAATGAGAAACTTCTTTCAGGGACGGAGGGAGTACATATCAACAACATCAACATTCAAGCCTTAGGAAGTTTTTAGTTGGATTGAAATTTTCTGGTATAATCAGGTTTGGTCTGGTCTGGTAAATGTCTGGTCTTTGTGTATTTTATAACTGCCCAAGTCTGGTCTGATCTGAGATTGAAATGCAGTCCAAGTAATAACATCCTTAGTCCCAAAAGAAAATGAGTTTGATCTTATTTTGTCATTTATAAATTACATATAAATAAATAAAATGAGTTTGTTCATAAAATGAGTTTGATCACAAAATATTTCCATACACTTGTTTTCTTATACCAAACTGAAGTTTAGTACTTTAGTTTGTTCTAGGTTTCATCCATTTTCACTGTATCCAGGAAACACATATATTTCATATCCAAGCTGCTACCCATTAAATGTTTTCTCCTTTCAATTAAATTAAGAACTTATTTTTGTAATACACAGGAGATTGCAGTTGCACATCTAGCGCCTACTCATCCTATACGATTGGGATTGGCACTCAACTTCTCAGTATTCTACTATGAGATTTTGAATACATCAGAAAAAGCTTGTAGTATGGCTAAACAGGTTTTCATCCCTTGCTCTAAAATGTTTTTAAAGCTGCGATGACTTCATATCATATCATTTGAGGACCTAATGTACTTTCTTCTTTATAGGCATTTGAGGAAGCTATTGCTGAGCTAGACACATTGGGTGAGGAGTCTTACAAGGACAGCACTCTTATCATGCAATTGTTGCGGGATAACCTCACTCTATGGACTTCAGATATGCAGGCAAGTCATTGAGGCTCCATAAGCATTACCAAATGTGCCTTAATTAACTACTTGTGTTTGATTCTTGATTGCATTTTCCATCAGCATTTTGCACACTTTGTAGTAGTTCTTTTCTACCAATACATTTTTTTTAGTTCAAAAATGAAAAAGTAGACTGTCAAGGGAAGCCTGGAATAGAGGCTTTTAGTATCAATCCCAGTAATTGCAATTGGAAGTGAAATTAACAATCTCTATGGTTGATGCAGGACCACATGGATGAAGCTTGAGCTGAACTTTTTCAATTGATCAATTTTTATAATGTACAAGCATGAATAGTGATGTCTTCTGTATTTATATCAAACGCGCAGTATTTGCTTGCTTTTGATCACATATGTGATATGTTTATTTCACTCATGCTGGTTTGAAGCCTCTGATGACTGTTCATCTTGTTGTGAACGCTGGTTTCCGTGTTAGCCAGCCATTGCCCATTGCAATGTATGTCATCTTGTAAAATAAAATAGAGTTCATTTCTTATTGTATATTAATCCAATATTTGATTGGGTTCAAGTTTAAAAATCTATGCGAGAATTGGTGTTATTAACATAATTACTAGTTTACTACCATGGCACCATGTATGTTTCAACCCTTACCCCATCATAGGTGGGTGTCTTTGCGGCATTGGGGATTTGGGGTAATGATTTTGATGATGGTATCATCTATGTTTCAAGTTTTACATTTTCATGTTGTTATTTGATACAAAGTATGTAATACTCCCTCGATCCTTGACCGTGAATTCACTTTTTTCTATTTTGAATGTCCCTAAATAAATTCTCTTTTCTTATTTGTTAAACAAAATTTCTATCTATTTACTCTATTGCCCCCAAATATAATGATTGTACAATGTTAATTAGTGTTAAATAGCATGAAAACAATGAATTCTACAATAACATTTTATCACAACAAAAAGCAGGTTTCAGAAATTCAATTGCAAAAAATTATTTTCTTGAAATGTGTGATATTCAAACTTGGAAAGTTTAAATAGGGAGTAGGGACAGAGAGTATGATACAATAACCTTAATAACGATAAAGGAATATGTGTGTTCAATTGTGTGAAAGTGTCAAAACACTTTACTCATTAGTAATATTTAGAGCCTATTTGGTAGCACGAAAATCGGCCGATTTGGCTGATTTTGCTGAAATTTATGAAGTTCTGGCTGCATTGGCTAATTTTGCTAATTTAAGAAAAAATAATTTTTAAAATATTTTTTTTTAATAAAATAAAGAAAAAACAATATATAAAAATAGCTAAAATGTTCATCTACAGTAACTTCAGCCAATACAACCAGAAAAGTAACTTCAACATTACTTTTTCTGCTTATTACAAATTCAGCGCGCGAAACAAAAGTTATGTGTTTGGTGAAAAAGTTTGTTGATAAGCCTGATAAGCCGAAAAACAGTATTGCCAAACAGCCTCTTAATCTTAAAATGGAGATTTTAGGAATTTAAAGGAAAAGTCATTTGCTTAAAGTGATACAATAACTTTAATTACAGTAAAATGAATATGTTATTACACTTGTTGAATATAGATTCCTATTACAACAAATTGTGATGATTAGCATATTCAGTTTCTCCTCATTGGGTCGTGTAATAATTGTTTGATCCGCCTCAAGCAATAGTCATACACTCATACAATTAGCTTCCTGCTTAGAATTCGACGGTGTCTGACCAACCAGTGGTGGTTCTTTATAAGTTGTGGTGAGAATCTGAGGAAACACCCAATCAATCCGTTAAGAGCGAATTCTTGTGCACAACAGTGTACTGGTGTATATAATGACAGTGGGAGCCTAGCGGATTATTAAAATGATTCGGATTTACATTTCTCAAAGATTTGAGGTGGTCTTTTTGGAAGTTTAGAATTAGTCCAGTGAAATCGGGGTTACCTAAAAAAAAAGAAAAAACAATCTTTAGATAAACAAAACACAAGGCATCCGATGCAAACCAACCAATGCTTTGAAGAATTTTGATTAAAATGGTCACTCACTCGCTATTGCTCACTAGCCAAATGTAAAACGGGGGTTCGTAAAAATATCACTAGAAAATGGGTGATGGACAAAAGTATCATTTTTTAATTTCCAAAAATATGATTAAAAGTGGTTGAAAGACTATTACACCTTTAATAATATAATCTCACCTCTCTAGTGCTACAGTAACGCCACAATGACCATAAATCGTTAATGATCACCGCCAGTCACACTGTCACAGTGACCAATACCGTTGTCGGGCCAATACCATGCTGTCACTAGGCATGACAATGGGTCGGGGCAGGGCGGGTACTACAAGACAAAGACCCGTCCCGTGACCCGCACGGGTCCAAACTTGTTGACCCATGCCCCGCTCCTCCGTAACATAATTAGCTAGTGATGGAGTATATGGCCCAGGAGCCCCCGGCCCACAGACTCCTACTTCTCATACACAAGCCCACTAGGCCCAGGGGGCGTCTCAGGCCCAAATACAACGGCCCAAGCATCAAGAGAACCCAGAATGCACAATGGAATGCCTTCGGCCCTTCCTGGCCGAAGGCTCCAAATCGAACATGGCAGCCAGATTCGAGCTTGCAACGCTACTGGGAGAAAACGGCGCAAAAGGTATCCCTCGGCTACCGAAGCCCTCGGCACTCAGGGGTGCCTTCGGGGGCAGGAGAGCCCTCGGCACCCTCCTCACTTCCACTACGAGGAACCCTCGGCCGAAGGGGGAGCCTTCGGCCAACACCTCCATCATCATCAAAGATTCCCTTTGGAGACAGTCAACCACCGCATTTAATGCAGCGTCACATCCACCCACCGCATTTAATGCGACGAACATGCCACTGCCGGTGCCACTCAGTTGATGTGACCCTTCGGCCGTCAGATCGTTGACACGTGTCCCCTCATCGCATTTATTACTACTATAAATAGCACCCCTTTCCCCGTTGTAAAGGACCAGAACATCTGGAGTTCATTTAATAAATCGACTCTCTCTCCTCCTATTTGCTCTGACTTCTCTCTAGTTAGTCCCGCAATAACCCCTCGGATAAGATACCCCCCGGGTAGACAATCCATCATTTGGTGCTCTCGTTGAGAGGGTCTGAACTATCAAGTAAGAAACCCTCCCTCTCTACCAAACACGAAACACTTACCAAAAATGGGAAGAACCACCCGTGCCCAGTCCAAAACCCTTGAGGAGAACCACGTAGCCCCCGGCGAGACTAACGGGGCTGAGGCCTCCAACAGGCTCTTAGTACCCGAGGGTGGTATCATCCTCGAATTAGAGCAAGCCACCGCTGACCTACGTCAGCAGCTGCAGAAGAACACCCCTGATGCTCGCATTGGCCTTGATAATCGAAGGAGGGATCGGAGTGAGAACCAAGTTCCCCCTCCGGCCTCGGCCATCGATCTTCAGGCTGCCTTTGCGGCCTTTGTTCAAAACATGGCTCTCAATTCCGGAGCCCTCGCCTCTCAGGCACCCCTTCAGCCCCACACTGGAGGGAATGTTATCCAACTACCGCCGCTCCCTCCTCTGTTCAACAATCCTCCCCCGGGGATTGGAAACGCCGAAGGGGTCATGGCGCAGGATACCGCCTCCCAAGAGGCCCAATCCAGGGATAAACGTCCCTTGATGAAGGAGAAACCCCGGACCTCTGCACTTGAGAGGCTTGGGGGAGCTCCCGGACGCCGGGGGGTCCAAGACCGCCTCGGCAAGCAGGAATTCAGCAGGCCTCAGGAGAGTGGAGCCTCCGCTTCGGGAGCCGAGGGCATGCCTCCCCCCCCCGAAGCAAAGGCAAAGCCCTCCTCCATGCCGATGACGCCAGGCACCAGATCAATCAGGCGCAATCCTTCCGGGCCAACTCCCAAGGGGTTGCCCCGAAGGATCCCAAGGACGAAATCATTAAAGCCCTCCTCCGTCAACTCGAGGAGAATCGTCAGGCGCCCCCGACGGCTTCCACGGCGAGGCCAGATCCAGAGTACGCCGACCTCCGGGCGCAGGTGGAGGAAATGAAGCGTAAGCTTGCCGAAGGCTCAGGCGAGCCCCTCATCCAACTCCGCACTAGGACGCCTTTCACCCCAAGGGTGCTGGCGGCCAAAATCCCCCATAAATATCGGGGGCAGCCCATCAAACCATACGAGGGGAAAACAGATCCCCAAGAACACTATAGCCGCTATCAAAATAACATGATGATGATGGGGGCCTCGGATGAATACTTATGCCGTTGGTTCCTTTCCACCTTGGAGGGGCCCGCGTATGAGTGGTTCAACCGGTTGCCCGAAGGCAGCATTGATTCTTGGCAAGAACTTGCCCGCCGCTTCCTTACACAATTTGCTGGGAGGCACCGCTCAAAGAAGCACTTCTCCCACCTCCTGAACGTCAGGCAGCAGAAGGAGGAAACCCTTCGGAGTTTCCTAGAACGCTGGAGGCAGGCCTCCCTCGAGGTCGAGGGCGCCGATGACAGAACCCTGATGGCCCTCTTCCACACCGTCCTCCGCAACGGTAACTTCTCCCGGAGCCTTATCACTGATCCCCCCCGCGATTATACGAAGGCCCTTCAGCGGGGGGACCGATATGCTGAAGCGGAGGAAATCGAGAAGGACCGCCGCAACACGGATCCTTCCCAGAAGAATGAAGGCAGGAATCGGCCCGGAGGGCCTCCCCCTCCGGCCAACCGCGAGGCTCAATATAATGATCGCCCCCGAGGTGGCCAAGCCAGAACCGGGGGCGGTTACAAAAATAATCCGAAGGCATGGGCGCAACCCGTCCTCCTTGAGCACCCACGCACTCCCTTGACGCATCCGGTCAGCGTCATTCTTGATCATGCAGAAGAACGGGGGCTCGTTGAGCGAGACTCCCGTACACCCCTCGAGATCTATGCCATCGGCCCTGATGAGCCATATTGCCGCTTCCACCGCCATCATGGACACAAAACCGACGACCGCCATCAGCTGAAAAACGCCATTGAGAGGCTGATACAGGCGGGCCACTTGTCTCAGTTTGTCCGGGGCCCTCCTCCCCAGGGCCCCCCACATCATCAAGGCCCTCCGCCGAAGGCAAACAAGTGGGTGAACCCCAACACCATTCCTTTGGGAAACCCACAAGGGAAGAAACGTGAAATTGGGGGCCTCGATGACGAGGGAGAAGGCTCCCACCAGCAATACAAGCGTCACATCCACATGATTAATGGTGGCAACACTGGTGGAGACTCCACCAGCCAACGGAAGAAGTGGGCTCAATCCCTTTACGTTGGGGAGGTCAGCCACGTGCCCCCAACTAAGAAGCCGAGGGGGGAACCCATCTTCTTCACAGATGCGGACCTACCCTCGGGTTCTCTGCCGCATAGGGACGCCCTCGTCATCCGCACTGAAATCAATGACGCCATCATCCTCCGGACTTATGTCGACACGGGGAGTTCCGTCAACGTCATGTACCTCAGCACTTTCCAAGAGTTGGGACTTGACAGGGGGTCCCTTCGGCACATCAACACCCCCCTCTCCGGATTTACAGGGGATAGCATCGACGCCGAAGGCGTCATCACCCTCATGGTCGAGTTCGGCGACGGATCCCATAGGGCCAAGCTCGAAGTGGAATTCGTCGTCGTCAACCTCGACTGTGCGCACAACATCATCCTCGGTCGGCCTGCCCTCGAGGACTTGGAAGCCGTCATCTCCATGAGGCACCTCTGCCTCAAGTTCCCCACACCTACCG